CAGATCTCGAGATGAACCGGCTTGGGACTGCGATCTGGTCGGTCAACTTTTGCACCTCTCGGGTGTTCCTAGAGGATGACTTTTCAATCAGCGACTTCACTTTATCTGGATTAGCGACTCATTTTATCTGGATTAGCCTTAATACCCTCGAGAGTCAAGAGATGATAGAGAATTTTTCCAGTTGAGGCTCCGAATGTACATTTTAGTGGATTTAGCTTCATGTTATAATTTTTAAGTTGGAATGTTTTTTTTTTTATTATTTTTTATTTGTAATTTAGTTGTTCGGCTTTTAACTAGGACATCATCCACATAAATTTTAATTTTTTTTCCCTTTTGATTAGAAAATGTTACATTTATTAAATGCTGGTATGATGGCCCAATATTTTTTAGCCCAGAGGGCATTATATTATAATAGAAAACACCCTCGGCGGTAATGAAAGCAGTCTTCTCGAAACCGACCGGGTGCATCTTTATTTGAAGGTAACCTGAGAGGGCATCCAGGAAGCTCATGACGGAGTGGCAGACAACAAAATCCACCAGGGCATTGATCTGTAGCATAGGGTATCAACCCTTCGAGCAAGTGATTTTTTGGTTTGTAAAATTCACACACATTCGCAACTTTCCATTGGCCTTCTGAATCATGACGATGTTGGAGACCCAGGTGAGGAAATGCACCTGTCAGATGTATCCTGCTTCTTTCATCTTCAGTATATCTTCTTAATGGGTCGGGTCAATGTCATTTTTTAGTCATGATCCTCTACTTTATTGGTTGAACGACAACATTCACGTTGGCAGGTGTCGTTAGTCGGTATTTCAGGCATCTCTGCTGCTGACTGAGCGAAGACGTCTCGATGGTCCTGAAGCGTTTGAAAGATAGTCCCCTGTGTCTTACATCAAAATTCTCGTTTGTTAGAAAAGCTTTATCGGGCTCTTCATTGGCAACGGGAATCTCCAGGGGTTGTCTCACTGGTCTCAAGACCCCCTTTCCTCCAGTTATGCAAGTCAAGTTGCTTCTGCTCCGCGCTTCCTACCCCTGGAGGGAGCAGACCTAAGACTGTTCCAAGTCTCGTTGGAAAAAATTTGACCGCCACATGGTAGATAGATACCACGAATTTGAAGTGTTTCAGTAGCGAGTGACCAAAGATGGCATTATAGGTGGGTTTAACTATCAGTTCCTTCATATCGGTGAACTGCTTCTCGCCCTCTCCCCAGGTAATCGCCAGCAACATTACTACTATTATTGAACACCGACTTGAAAAATATGTTTATTGAGCTACTGATGTCGATCAGGATACTTGTGACCTGAAAATTACTTATTATTCTCGTTGCAACGATGGCTTTTTTGTAAGGATTTCCTCTGAGGGGCAACTTAGCATCGGTGAATATGATGGAGGGGCAGCTCCCTTTCCTCTACATAGAAGCGATGCGCACAATTCCTCCATCCTAAACCTCTTCTAGGAGGCCCGCCTGGAAGATTTTGTTCCTCTAACGATGGTAGGGACTATTCCGGTGATATCAACAACATTCATTTGGACAAGTTTGTCCGAGACTTCCATTTGAGGCCTTTCTTTGCCTTTGACCCGAGTCCCACAACACCACAAATTTCTTTAGTTTCTTGTCTTCGATCATCTCCTCGATTAGGTTTCAGAGGTTTCTACATTCATCAGTATCATAGTCATGGTCTCGGTGGTACTTGCAGTACTTTATTGTGTCTTGGAGAAAGGCTTCAACCCTCATTGGCGGTGCCTACTTAAAGTACTCCTTATCTTGGATGGCATCTACAATCTCAGCCATTAGCACCCTCAGCAGAGTGGCATAAGGGCCCTCATATTCGCCGAACGACTGCTCATAGTAATGTATCAAACTATCATAGTATTGAACTAGTAGTTGGTCACGACTTGTCACCTAAGCTTGTCACCTAACCTCTCTGACCTCTGTTATTGTGACTGGGTCGGCAGTCTTCATATAGCTATTGAACAAGCGACTTAAGATTCCCCTTTGGCTTCCACCTATCATTTTGGGGGGCTCTCTTTTGAGTTCGGTGGTTTGTCGGTTTTGGTTGGGGGATGCTCCTCTCCAAGATGATGTGCTTGTTGGCCATCTCCAATAGTTCAACCAAACCCTGGGGCTCATGCAAACTGAGGTTATAACGGAACCTCTCTGACATCAGGCTTTGCTTTAGGGTAGCCTGTGCCATGTCTGATTGGAAATCTTTCACCTCTAGCATCGCCCTTTGAAAATATAAGATGTATGAATCTAGGCTTTCATTTGCTCTTTGTTTAGCTACCACAAGGACTGTGCACTCTTTTTGGGTCTCTAAGTGCTTGCAAACTGCGCTAAAAAATTTTTTGGAAAGTCCAAAAATTTGCTCATGCTTCCTGCCGAAAGCGAGTTGAACCACTTCAAAGCCGATGATCTCAAGGTGGTGAAGAACATATGGCATTTGAATGCGTCTGTCGGCACAATTTTAGGGGGGGAGAGTCGTCCTGTGGAAGCTGTCGGCCGTCGGAATGGAAACCTTGTCGCCCGCTTCGGAGTAACATTTAAT